GCTTCTGGGAGATGTTGATATATCGAATCTGATCCATGTACGGGTACACGGACCCAAACTATGTATATCATGCGCATTGAGTTATGTCCATCACTGCAAGTAAGGGCTCAGGCATCAAGCTTGGGGTAGAAAAGAAAGTACGAAGTACGAGTACTCTTGTAGACTCAAGCTTTGCATGTGAAAATCCATGGAGCACTGCTGGCTGAATGATCGCCGAGAATCTGAAGGGTCTCATCCATTACTGAACCCGCAAAGGAAAAGGAATGTTTGTTTGTACTCCGTACTGTACGGAGTACCACGGGGAAGATCTCCCGTCTCTGGCAATATCAAATCCCGGCGAAGATGAGAGTGCGGCGGCACTGCGGATAGCACTTCCCCTTTCCTCTGTCTAAGGGAAGTCTGAGACGAGACCGTCCCAGACAAACATTGAAGGCACAATAATGTACTGTGTACGGTAACTTGCTCTAGTAAACAGCTGCAGTGCGCGCAGTGCGCACCCCTCTGTCCTGGGCTCTCACCCCACCCAACCAACCCCCGATTCCCCAAATTCTCTCTCTCGACCCGTCTTGACTTCTTGAAAGTTGACACCCCTCCATCTGATTAAATTATGGGCCCCCCTCCCCTCCCTCCCCCAACACAACACCCGAAACAGACCACGTACACATCTACGAGTACTCCGTATTTGAGGTGGTATGTGTTCAAAAAAAATGAGCTGGTATACGCACACAGCCCACCCATCCCGAGTTACCCTTCAACACCCTCCAACAGCCAGCCGGAGTTTTTTAAAAAAAAAAAGAAAACAATCCAACCACCAAAAACAAACACCTACATATTCCGTAGCATACACACTATGCGGGCAAAAAAAAACAAACAAACAAACACAACCAGAAAAGAAACCCATCCCCCCCCCCCCCACTTCAATCCTTAGAACTGCACCATCTGGCAAAAGCGCAGGTTAATCCCAAACCAACCTAGCGGGCATCATCGCGCGCCAAACCAAATCGAGAATCTCATGCATCTGAGATCTCCCTCTCTGTTTCTCTCGACCGAGATTCGAATTCTGAACCGGTCCGGTCGAGGGGGGAGGGGGATGATTGACAGGGCTGCGACTGTACTGCACACTGCACTGCACCAACTAGACTTAGGTAGGCTTAGACCCGTCCATTGAATCTGTGTTTTGCGCTGTTAAGATTTTTCTTGGTGCAGAGTATAAACTCGGCCTTACTGCTCTTGTCACTTTGGACGGAGTTTATTCGAGTCTAGACTACGTAGTCGATGATGTTTTGAAGAAGTATATTTGGCAATGCATCCGTCGCGATGATGGGGACATGTACGGAGAAAAGAGTGCACGAAGAGCTCAGCCACGATGTGGCGAAGCTTCTTGAGCAGCAAGACATCTCCGTGATTGCTTCTGAAGAGTGAAGCATTCATTACCACCCGTAGACGGATGTAGGAGCCGAGGTATACGGGAGTATACGTACACCGTTACTATTCGTAGCGGGATTCTTCGACCCCAAAAAGGCCGAGGGGGGGGGCACTTTCTGATGAGGATGTCCGCGGGTTGCTAAGAAAGATTAAGATGACAAGTGGATCAAAATGAAGAAAAGGTTCCGCGCACGAGCTAGGTTTCCTCTCTGAGCACTTGGCGTCTGGCTCACTGGGTCGCTTAATGTGCTCGGCTCGGCTGCTTGGGTAGTTGTTTTGGATGCTGATTGCTGCGTGGTCTTCACGTCGACTCCGTAGTGGATTATTGTTTACTTTGCTCTACTACAGTATTCATACTAGCGCTGAGAGTAGTTAGTAGCTTGCTTAGTTGTTGGTGCCTGCGGCCGCCCTCTCTCCCCACCTCAGTCTGTCTCTTCATCGAAACGACAGTGCGGTGTAGGCAATTGTCTAGTTTCATTGTCGTTGCAAAAGCAAAGCGCTAGACTCGAATTCTTCAGCGAACAGAAACAAGCCAGGAGTAGAGAAAACATGCTCCATCGACTCGAAACTACCCCGAGATCCAGCTTGGACCCCTTCGCCCCCTTTTGCCCACGTTGATCAACAACAACCACTCCATCCCCGTATTCACAGTTTGAAGAAACATGGATTCTCCCATCTCTCGAACGACAGCATCGTTTCTCGGACCACCGGACGGGCGAGGGGGCGGGCGGGCGGGCTTCGAGCCCTTCGACGAGCGTTCGACGAGATTACTGATTTAGGATGGATCGACGGAGATCCTCCCCCCGAGTCTCTCCTTAGCATCAACCTTCGAACCATGGTTCCGGGCCCTGCTGGCAGTTGGTGTCGGGAGACGAAGAACGGGTTGCTGGGGAAGTCCAATTTGGACAGAAAATGGCCCGGAGACTTTTCGGTCTGTTTTCGTCCCCTTTCACCCTCACCGGGAGTCGTCGCTGTTCGAAGTCTCCAGCCATCTTCCAGTCTCGGCAAGAATCTCGTCTCGCCGCGCCGAGTCTCAACCAGAACCTGAGGGGTTTTCTGTGGTTGAGTGCCTTTTTTAGGTTCCTACTTTAGCAATCCGGCCGGTTTGATACGATGCCGTACGCGTTTACTCCGTCGTAGACTCGTAGTATATCGTGGAGATCATCTTCCTTGGATCGCGAATCGATTCTCGTCCGATTCAAAATGAGTTAGGGCGATCATCGAAAATGCCTGTGCTTTCATAGGGGCAGGCAGATGATTGATAGATCAACTGCCAGAATGCTTGGCCTTGGCACTATTCCTTAGCGACTTGTGCTACGGAGTACTCAGCGACTAGCAGCCTAAGGGTGATGTTTTGTTGGGCAGGGCGTCGTCTGGCTGCCTCGTCACACGCGTTTTGTTTTTGATGCGCTCAAGCTGCTGATCTAGCTGCCGGTTGCTGTTACATCGTCCATGCCATGCCGACTTGCGTTCCAGGTTGGCCCCGATTTTGAGACCATCGGAAGAAACCCTTTCCAGCGCCTTCCATATAGCAGAACGAACTATAGTTCCTGTCGCATACATCCCTGCGCTGTATAGACGCCATTGTCGTCATGATTCCTGGTCCCCTGCAAGTGAAGACAAGGCGATTGGCAGGACAGGCTAGTTCGGATCCTGCAGTAGTGTACATGTTGAACATCCCAGGTTGCTTCCTTAGTAAGAGGAGTAGTCTAGACTGCCCTGACAGGGCAACTGAATAGTGATTGTACCTATTAAGCGACTGTCGAAGCTACTCAATACGATGGCCGACAGTGCCGGGGCTGATTGCACCTGTACGGCGGCGGATGTCTTACAGCAATAGCTGCAGGTCGCACCAACCAGCGAGCCCGATGGGAGAACTAGTGAAATCGTGACCAATTTAGACTCGCCGTAGCGGCTTCCCGAACGACTCTCAATCTCGGATGCTGTTTCAGACTGCAGGACGACTCGACGAGGGAGTCGCAGACGGGTCAATTATCTCTCCGGGAGCTGTCAGGTACGCGAGTGAGCCCAGCTGACCTATACTCTGTCCGTCGTAGGGTGTACGTAGTACGTTGACAGGGCTTGGATCCCGTGCAGAGGCGTCGAGGACTCCAATTTCAACGGTCGGTCAGCAAAGATCCGCCTGCAGCGAGTCAGTGGCAGTGAAAGTGACTTGAGGTGAAGCTGGAGAGCACTCAAAGCAGACAAGTCAAACCCTCAACGGCCGAGGTACAGCGGAAGAGCTAGCCGAAAAGGGAAATGAGGCCACCGCGACAGTCATAACCGTTACATAATCGACTCCAGGCGGGTTCCAGTTTGCCCGAAGTTGCGGCGGCGGGAACATAGGTCGCCCTGGAGAGGCGGCGACCGTCCAGTCTGCGGGCCTGGAGACTGAGTGCCAGCGTCTTTCGGGGTCTGTCCGTGCTGGTCGGAGAGCACTGACCAATGACAACGTGGCAAAGGGATCAGGGCCAATGATCGTGTAGCGATAAGCTGATGGTCCAAGTCGCCAATTCGCAGGCGAGCTCAGGAAGATCCGCTGCATTGGGAATGGCCGTCCGCAGCAGTCATTGGGTACCGGCTTCAATTTCACCGTGCAAGAGGTGGACCGTACCAGTCCGGCCCTCCGAACTAGTGTGATGTAGATTGATTTGGGACTTCCACGGCTTCCGAAGCTCTTCATTTTCATTTCCATCTACCCTCTAATCCTTATCCGACCGGATTGATTGGCACGGGATAGGTAGTACGACTTAGTCGGTCTGTCACCGCCAGATTGCCCGTGTCCTTGCCGAGCAGGAAGAAGTAATAAAGTGAGCCACTTGCAAGGGGAGGGTGACAGATAGTGAGGTCTGCGCCAGAAAGGATGCAATTCCAAGCCCGTGCTATAGTACTAGGTAGCCATAATCACCCGAGGTTGAGTTGGTTGGTGTGTACGGAGTAGCTAGTAGGCTATACAGGAAGTACTCCGTACAGGGTGTACATACAGTACACGATGCCAGATGGTGGTCTCGTGAACTCTTCCTAACAGAGTAACCCTCTGCGGTCACTGCTTTTTGCTAAGGCGGACGCTCGGTGGAGCCGAGGTTGCAGTGGGGCCACTTTCCGGCTTCTCTTCGTCCAACCAGCACCATCTCTATTCTGATTTCACCGGTAGCCGCCGAAATGTAGCGTTCCAGCTTGGTAGGAGCGCGGTAGAGAACCGCTCCACGGGGGGGGGGGG